CATTCAAGCTTCACTTGCTTACTGTTCTATTTTGATTGTATTTAGTACAGTCTAAGAGTTCTTACAAACTCAAGGACTGATACTGCATTTGTTCAGTTCTTTTACATTTCATCAAAACTATTTCACGATTTGTACACTTAGGGAATAAGTGTAGATTTATAAGTCCACGGGACGTGGCCGGAGAATTAGTTGATAGGATCAAGTAGTGTTGGCTAGATTTGAAGGGAGTTCAAGTAGTTGTAAGTCCAAACTATGTTTATGAGTGATCTATCAATGAAAGAGCTCTGAGGGGAAGTGGGACGCTTCCCCGAAGAGTTAATTATTCTTTGGTTGTTTGCTTCCGCATTTCACAATTCTTACTTTGGTTCTTACTACAATTAGCGCACTCCGTGACAAATATACGTTTCATTACAAAAGAAGATAGANTTTTTTTTTAACCCACAATATTTATTTCCTCTCCATGTCGGTTTATATTTAATAAGGTTAGAGAAAGCTTCAAACAGAATAACTAAAAGATAAAAGAAATATCAAGTCTTCCTATTTTAAAAGCTCTAGAAGGACGCAGAGGTAAATGAGCCGAGCTCGAGTCCTTGATGCGCTGAAAATCGAGTTCGAGTTTGACTCGTTTACCAGTATTAGTCGATCTCGAGTTTTAATGAACTAAAATATAGAAAATTATATAAAATTTCTCTTTTCAAGCCTTAAAGAGTCGAATCCAATTCGTTAACGAAACAAGCTTAAAGTGAGCTCCCTCGAGAGCGGAACTCGAGTCGAGCTGACCTCACGAGCGACTCGCTTTGTTTAAGAAGTAATATAAACACAAGGTTGACCATTTGAGAGAAACAAGAACTTATCATATTAGCCACTAAAAAACATTTATTCCACTAAACAATTCTTATTACATCCACAGTTATGCAAGAAACTCGTGGCTAATCACCCCATTATCTATCTGCAATTAATCTCGCCCGTATGAAAGCAAAATTCTCCAATCGCGAGCACTGAATGCTGTTTGCCAACTACCGCCGGCCATTAAATGTCATTCTCCTCTTTCCAATCACTCAATCTAGGTTCCATGCGACTCCATAAATCACGCAAAAGTTATCGGAAGGACGAGAGGCAAAAACCCCACGAGGAAAAATTGGAATCAAATCAGACCCAAAAGTAAAAAATGTCTCCTTTTCTATCATCTTTCACTATACCCTCGTTAATCTTCAGTTTATTTACCTCTTCTTTAATCCCATTTTCAGTCTCTTTGCCTTTCATTCTTCTCCATGGTAGTTTTTTTCTTTTTCCTATTTTTTCTTCATTTTCGCCCTTGTTGAAGCTAATTTTGTGTTTCTTTAAGTTTTTACTGCTAATGGGTTTCTTTAACTTTATTTATTTATTTATTTTTTACATTTTATTTGGTTGTAATAGGAATTGGAGATCAGTGTTCGAGCAGAGGAGTGAAGAGCCTTACGCAGGATCTCATCGACTTCTCTAAATCTGAAGGGTTTTGCGTGTAAGATTATTTCGTTACCTTCTTCCTTTGTGAGAACTTTCATTACAGTGTGAAAAAGGAAATTGAAATCTTGGATTTTTTTTGCATATCATGTCAGTTTCATGTCGTCTGAAGAATAAGAGAAATTGGGTATATGTGAATGGAAAGTCTAAAGTTACCTGCTTTTTAATCAGATTTACTGTTACAAGCAAGTCTCGTCATGATTAATCTTTTATGTGCTATTGAGCTAATTTGATCATTGTCTGTTATGCACCTACATATTTCCATACCTATATTTATATATCTATAATTGCTGACTCACTAGCATTTAGTAAAACCTATTAAATTATACCTATGTGGCATAACTTTTTTTTCCTAAAAAACCGTCACTTTTTATTTATTTAACCTCTCATTTAGTTATTAGATAATCAATACACTAATCACTTCAAAATTAAAAAAAAAATCAATTTAAACTTTTGATTTACTTACAGTTGTTGACTATTTATAGATGTCATTGTTGTGGTTATATTTAAATTAACTTTTTTTGGAAAATAAAAAACGTATTTGAAATTCCTAAATAAATAATAAATAATTCATAAAAAAATACATACCTAAATATACATTACATCAAATATGATAAACGCAACTTAAAAAATAAATATTCTAGCTCCTTTAATTGTAAATTTGACCTGCAAAAAAGTGAAAGAAAAACCATTAATCATTATATGCATACAAATAACTCACACTACTTTATTTTTTATATCTATGCATTTGCACAGGTCGAATACTAGTGTATCTCAAATTTGTGAACTTTGTAACTTTTTCAACCATTTCTAGTACTTCCTCCTATTCATAATAAGTGTCGTTTTGAGAAGTTACATAGTAATTAAGAATTATTTTTTGCCAATAATAACCCTCATTAGTAAACATAGAGATGAATGTTTTGAGAAAAAACTAAGAGTGAATATGAAAAGAAGCAGTGTATTTATTAGCTAAATGAGGGTAATAATGGAAAAATATGTACAAAAAATCCAAAACGTCATTTATTTGGTTAATGGTTGATAAAGCCAAAATGACATTTAAAAAGAATAAGAGGTTGTACCTTATTTGTTTAGTGTTTTTTTTTCCAATTATGTTTTTTTTTTCTTTTTTTTTTCGATGGATATTACGAGGGATGTAGAAGTAAAACTAAGGTGTCGCATTCTTAGCCATATATGCACATATACATGAAAAGTAAGGCCATTTACTATTTTAAAGTGTAGAAAAATGGAATCTAGAGTTTTTTATAATCTTCTTAGACAGTTTTGTTCATTTGGGGGCTATAATTTTTCATATTTAGGTGATTGGAACATATGTAACACCATAGAGCATCTCCAATGGTCTTTCCATTCTTTTATTTTGTTGCCACAAAGGCACAAAAAATCTGATGTGGCATGGAAAATGTCTAGAAAGCTTTCTAGATGTAGAAGTCTCTCTAAACAACTTCTATCATATATTATATTATTTATTCAATTTATCTCTTTTCTCCAACCAATTACAATTTTACACATCACAAATAATACCACAATTAACACTAACCATTGGAGACACAACTTTTTAATTTCCTTTCTTCATTTAAAATGTAGAATTTTCCATTGGAGATGCTCTTATCGACTATGATATAAAATTTTGTCGATTTTTATTTTCAAAACTATAGGGAAGTTGGAGATGGATATTGGGATTCTTGGTTTAAGCCCTTACAGGATCAGGTAAGGGGAGAGCAGTCCACAATCCTAATTCGGTTTTATCCCTTGATTAATTTATTTTATTTTTTTCGAGTGAGGCTGATTTTATTTTTCTTTCATTTTACCTACAGACTCAAATCGTATGCAATAAGGTGAGTGACGAAATTATTCGATTATTCGAACACTTTGATTAGCCGGTTGCTCTCTGAATGTTTAGGATTAAAATTCAGGTGAAGCAAATGAAAGAACTGCAGGAGGGTTACAACATTGTTGGTCTTTCCCAGGTGTTTTTTTCCCTCTCTTTTTCTTATCATCATAATGTATTTTTCTTTTAGATGAAACATAACAACAAATTATGTGGAGTGCTATTTTTCTTTATCTCAGTATTTGTCATGCTTGAGGATAATTAGTCACTTTGTTTGTTTAAAGTGATTGAAAAGTTAATAACAACAATCTGTTAATTATCTTCATTGTTCAATCTAGGGAAACTTAATCGGACGAGGTGTTGTAGAGTTCTGTGATGGTGGACCACCGGTAAGAACTATGTATATGAAGTTTTTGTATAACTTTTGTACTTTGTCCAATTTTTTTCTGTGATGTCCTTGTGATAGCAGATACAATCTTGTAATGATATAATAAGCTTTTAAATACTTGTCAGTTGTCATTAAACATGATGTATTTAACTATGGAGATTTATCTCAATCGACCTATTGATGTCATTGTAATTTTTTTTTCTATTTTTATTATTATTATTTTTTTATTTTTGTTGTCAGGTAAGGAATTTTGTATCTCTTGGAGGACCTCATGCTGGTACTGCTTCAGTTCCTCTTTGTGGTGTAAGTAAAATTTCCTTTGGTTTTTTAACAACACCCTTTAATGCTTATCTTTTTGAAGGCATCTTTATTTTCATGAAAAGACACTTAAAAAAAATGTGTCTCTTTCGATTGTTTGATAACAATCGAAATTATTTCGTTTGGAAATGATTGATATTTCAGTAAAGTGCATCTGATGCGGTGTAGAGTTGTTTAGGATTTTATTCATTTTCAAACATTAATAATCTTGTGAAAGTCTATATCCTTTGCTTAAATTCTGGCATATGGGTCATTCCTCAGTGATTCTATATATCAATTTTTTCTTATGACGAAACGTAAGGGTTGGAAAGTTCGTGTTAACTTTAATCTAATACAATAACCCAATAAAAATGTGATAATTGAATGTGATTTGAATATTTCTCTATGATGATTTCATATTTTGTAGAAACATGCTATTGCTGTTTGTAGAATTTAATAGGATAAGATACGAAGAAAGGCAATCTCTTGAAATTTTTTTTTTACGGGTTTTTCTCAGACTGGTGTATTTTGCAACTTAGCTGATGTTCTGATAAAATCCGAGATATACTCAGACTACGTCCAAGTACGTTTATACCATTTGTTTTTCCTCTGCACAACAAACAAAGAGTAAAATTTATCTCCGAACTTATTTCTTGAATGTAAAATTGTGAATACGCAGGCTCATTTGGCTCCTAGTGGCTATCTAAAGCTACCTAATGTGAGTATTTAAGTAGTTTTTTGCATAAACGAGACCAAGTTAATGAAATCGTGAACTTTGAACTCTTTTTCCCTCAATTTTTGTAAGGACATTTAATATCCGAAGCCCTAAACATGGTATTCATTATTTCCTTTTTTTTTTCAGAATATTGATGGCTACTTGGACAAATGTAGGTTTCTCCCGAAGCTTAACAATGAACTCCCACAAGAGAGGAACGCTACTTACAAAGAAAGACTCACTAGCTTACAAAATCTTATCCTTATCATGGTATTTCAAACCTAGTCATTTCTTACCCTTCTTATTATGTCGGATTATTTATCATGCATAATCAGTGAATAATACGCGTCTGGTTTCTGATTTTTTTTATCTCGTCTCTCATGAGCAGTTTGAGCATGATACCGTCTTAATACCAAAGGAGACTTCTTGGTTTGGGTATTATCCGAATGGGGCGTTTGATCCGATTTTGAGACCACAACAAGTGAGATATTCCTGTTCTTAGCTTCAACATTTATCTCTCGAACAAATTTCGCTCGATAATTTACATTGTTCATTTTACTTTTATTTCTTAAAAGAATGATAGGAGCCATAGTGTAAAAATGGAAAATATTTACGATGATTTAAGGCGTGCTAGGATACAAATATATCCGCTCAAAATATTTTTTTTTATTGTTAGTAAATAGTTAATTTTGAAAAATGTGATGTTTAGTTGTTAGTGGAATTTTGAGTTTATCTTAAAATAATATTTGAAATAAAATAATTAAAATTGATTTGATGTAAAAGTAGGAGAGAGATGATGTGAAGTGATGTTTAGCTAAAATTATGTGAGTAGATGAATAATGCTAAAGTTGATGTAATGTGTAAAAATGACTGATTGATATTATTTAATTTTATTGATAATATTGAGGATAGTAAGGTTGGGTTAAAATTGAGTTAGATTTTGAATATGAATTGAGTTTATTTGCAGTTAATAAACAAACACTATCTTAATGTATAATGACCTCAACTTTTGTTATCATTTAATTGATCTCTCAATAAATCAATCGTTATGCTCGGCTTCCCAAGTTTAATGGGTTATCCAAAGATCATGACATGAAACCTAAGGCCAAATGATAGTAACTCACTTGAGTTCAAATGAGGCTAATACTCAAATGCGCAGCATTCTTGAAACTGTTCATTATAATTGCAAGTTACTTTAGATAGAACTTAATAATTACTGCCTTAGGGTGTGATTGGTAAGGAATTAAAGCTGACGAAAATCAGTTTTGATTGGATCAGTCTTTTTTTAATCATTTTAACTCAAAATCTAACTCAACCACTCTATCTTCAATATTATTCATATTAATTAGGACATTGCATCCGTTAACTCAAAAATCATTCATTCAATCAAAAAATAACACTCTCTCTCATCCACATCATCTACTCATCATCTTTCCACTAAATTTCTCTCCATTTAAACATACACTCACATTCCTATCCATTCATTTAAATACATATATGGGACCCATTCTCCACTCATTCAATATAAATTTTAATATTTTATTCTAAAAAAACAAACATGATTAAATAATTAAATGAAACAAAAAAAAAATGAAAAGGCACCGTTCAAAGCAATGAACGGAAAAAGGGCCCCACTCCCTTAATGAATGCCCACATCCATGTTAATGCCCACCTGCCATTTAAACGGGGCGAATTAATGCGCCATTGCAGATGCCCTTAAATAATATCAATTATCTTTATCCTACGTCACATCAACTTTAATTCACTTTTCATCCACTTTTATTATCTATCGCTTTCATAATCTCTCTCCTACTTTTACATTTCATTAACTTTAATTATTATATTTTAAATAATATTATAATGTTTGTATTTAATACATTTATTAATATTTTTTATAACTTTAATTGCTTATTCAATTCATAATGGAATAAAAAAAATAATAATATATAGTTTCTGCACAACAATAATGACTGCCATGTTTATATATATAAATGAGAATAAGAAAACATAAATGTGGGATTAACTAAAAGAAACCTTTTTAATTTAGCCGTTAACTAATTAAGTTTAACTAAAAGAAACTTTCTTAAATGTGGGATTATTGAATAATTAATTAAAATAAAATATAACTCCTTTTGAGGAAAAGTGAAAATGTTTTTATTAAATATTTTATTAAATGAGATTAGCTAGTAATTATATATTATATATATAGATATGAAACTCATGCACATTAATATAGTTCACACAATTATCCTCTTTATGATTGTATGTCCATTTAAAGATAAATCTAAGTATTGCATAATGCCCACAAGGCCATTTATCTTGCCTCAATTCATGGATTAATCATTTACTATTGCCACATGAAATTCTTATTTTACGCTAAAACTTTCAGTTGTGAATTTTTATATTGCCAATATGACAATCATGTACTTTATGATTGTGAATTTTACCATTGCCATATAATTTGTAATAAATTATACTCCCTCATATTCATAATATATATCGTTTTGAGTAGTTGCACAGTAATAAAGAATAATTTTTTTTTACCAATAATAACCTTTCTTAATGAAAATAGAGATTGATGTTTTGGAAAAAGATGAAGAGTGAATATGAAAAGACGTAGTGTATTTATTAACTAAATGAGAGTAGTAATAGAAAAATGTGTATAAAATATCCAAAATGTCATTTATTTGGTTAATAGTTGATAAAGCAAAAAATGACATTTAAAAAGAATAAGAAATAATATTTATTAATAGGAAAAAAGAAAAAGTAAACCAATCAAATTGAAATATTGAATATCAACTAACCTATGAGGATGGTGCACTAACTCATCCCATAGAAAACAAAAGTCAATATTTAAATGATGCAAATTGTTGTGAGGCTAATTATCATCACTTTTGATGAGTTCTTGACAATGAAATGTTTTTCCTTATTATGTTGGATAGTGATAAATTTATATTCTATGTTTATGGGCTTAAACTTTAATGGAGGAGAATAATTAGTGGATTAAAGAGGTAAGAAAGGGTGAAAGAGGTCAAAGCATATATGGGTGGAAAGCACATTTTCTTGGGTCGGTGAATGTGTCTAAAGTTATTCCCTTGGCTCATTTTTGCCTAGCTTACTCAAATCCTCATCAAACTCTGTCAAAAAAGGAATTTTTATGTCATTAAGCATGAAAAAAAAATTCAATCTTGGTTTAGTAATGAACACGAAATTATTCACGTGTACATGATTGCATGACTGAATCCACTTTGTCAATTTTCCCTCCATTATCCGTCATAGTTTAGTTCTCAGTACAAAAAGATTTTCATGTGGGCCAATTTGATCATGTATTTTTTCTTTTTTTCTCAAATTCCTATTTATCATTTTCACTGATTTATCGTTCTATAAATGATGTGAATTGATATGACAGAAGATTAACATATCATACACAATAAATGAGTGGTTAAACAAGCAAATATATATTAGGGTATATTAATGTGCGGATATGTGGATAACTCTCACATACTTTCTTTATTTATCCCTCGCATGCATACACATAGTAAGGGTCTGGTTGGATATAAATTATTTTGGATTTGATTAGAATTATAGTATAAGGTGAGTCAAATTTGAAAAAAGTTGGTTGAGTTTTAGTTTGCATGAGATTTTGAGTTTATATTTAAATAATATTTATAATGTAATGATTAAAGTTAATTGATATGATGTAAAAGTAAGAGAGAAATGTAATTAAAAGTACTGAATGGTTAAAATTGTGTGTGTATGAATAATGAATTAAAATCAATATGATATATGTGAAAATAATTGATTGATAATTTGATGTTATTTAATTATATTAATAATATCGATGAGAGTTGAAATGTTACATTTGAGTTGAATTTTGAATTAAACAAAAACTATCTAATCCAGCGAGGACAAAAGGAATTGAAGGATGTGGAGACAAAGAAAAGGATACCTTCATGACTGGCAAAGGAAAAAGGGAAAAACATGAAAAAATGAAAAAAGAAATATTTGAAAGCAAAGGAAAACTAGCGTACGCAGTCCAAAAGAAGAATCACGGCCACAATCACGCAATAAATTTATTGCCGAAAATGCCCTTACAAACTGATCCGGAATTCGTTGACCAAATCTCTGTGAAATTTCCAGCAAAAATTCCTGGCAAGTGGCAAAAGCTTGTTATTTATATTTTGAATAAAATTACTTTGATGTAAAAGTGTGACATAATTATAAACTATGGCAGAAAATGTTATGTATGTTTAGTGATTATTGACTTTGAAAAGTGATTTAATGTGCTAAATAATCTTTATAATAGAAAAATGTTGTGTATGTTTAGCCTGTGTTTCGTAAAACTAACTGATAATTAAACTAGTTGATAGTTGATAAGTTAGCTTATAGCTTATCAGTAATTTTCGAGCTTATAATTTATGATTTATAGTTGAAAAGTTAGCTTATATGATAAAAATATTTAGTAAAATTAACTGATAAACTAGCTGAAATAAAAATTTGAACGAGCTTATTTGAAAAGATACCCAAAGTAGCTTATGAGATAAGCTCGAGCTTTTTAAATAAGTTCATCATACCAACCGAAACCTATTTAAATACATGAAGCTTATAAGCTAACTAAATAAGCTATAAGTTAGCTTATTTGTCTACCAAACATAGCCTTAATGGTTGTAAATTGTAAAAGTAATTCCATGTGTAGATAGCATGATTGTTTCATCTGTTATTATGTTAAAATTTATATCATATTTTATGTAATTGTAAAATGATTTTTTAGAATATATTGTTATAGAAAATGTCAAGAAAATAATGTCAGTAAACCTTGTTAGATGGATCTAATATTAGATAATTATAATTTTTCAACATATATAATCTTAAATCGAAACGAAATTCTCTATAAATCAAAATAATTTACAAATGTATGCATTTTATGATCAACATACATTTTTGTTTAAAATAAAGTGTTATAGGTCAACACGTCTAGGACGTTTCACATAAAAATTTATAAAATAATGTAGGATAACCGTTTTTTTGTGGATTCTTGTAGGAATCTTTAGAGCTTCTCCAATGGATCATGTATTGCTTTATTCCAATGTGACATCTAAAATATGTACAAATCTTCTAGATGTAGAAAGACTTCTAGACATCTTCTTTCTATATTATGTAATTTATTCTCTCAACCAACCAATTATTGCCTTACATGTGTAAAATTATTCCACAATTGATATTAGCCATTGAAGACAAAATATTTTTATTTTCTTTCTTCACACCATACATCTCACAATAAACATTGTGTCATTGGAGATGCTTTTAAGGTACATGGTATTACCATTCAACCAGTAATATCATCGGTATTAACCCTATATATTTTAATATCGATTAAGATAAAATTGAGAGTAGATATTTATGTTTTTATTTTTTAGTCAATAATTATTATTTTTACTTTATATATATCTGTATATATATTAAAAAAATTGTCTAGTATTTTTCGTTATTTCCGATACAACTCCAGCACAATCCGCTTTTACATAAATCTCGTATTTTGTTTACGGACCGATGATCGATATTCGATATTCCTACTTGGTAAGGTCTATTGTTTAAAACACTATTTTGAACATTAGATCTAATGAATTATGTTTCAACAAACATAATGATTGATATAACATACACATCATGTCAAGTACACATCACTATCAATTTCAAAATATAACAGTTTGTACACTTCCACATCATATATGTCATCCATTGTATGAAAATTTTATGTCAAAATACATGAGAGGGGCATTATTGTCCAAACAACCCCAAATATTTAAAAAAAGAAAAGCATCCATAACCATAATCTTGAAAACAAGCTCTCTCACACTTCCCCCAAATCTCCTCTGCACTTTATTCTCCCTCTCTCTCTCTTAAGCCTTTATCTCTCCTCCATCTCCAACTACCACCCATCCATGGAGGACTCAGTTTCCCGCTCGCCGGACCTCCGAGCATCTCCGCCGCCCGACCCGGCAAACGACCCGAGCAATTTCTACCGCCAATTTCTCCGCAGATCTGCCCTCGTAACCGTCCTCCTCGCCATCCTCCCGATTTTCCCCTCAATTGCCCCCCAATTCGTCAATCAAACCCTCCACGCCAGAAGCTGGGAGCTCCTCCAGCTCGTCTTCGTCGGAATCGCCGTCTCCTACGGCCTTTTCAGCCGGAAAAACGACCAGACGGAGAAGGACCACGGCGGCGGCGGCCCGAAGCCCGAAAGCGCACACTCTTACGTCAGCAAGCTGCTCCAGTTCTCCTCTGTCTTCGACGATGAGCCCGGAAGCCCGCAGGCCGTGATTCACGAAGAGAGTAAGGTCCAAACTTTAAATTCTCAGTATTTTAGAGGTGAACCTGTGGTTATGGTGGCCGAGCAGATACAGAGCAATCCTGTTGTTCGAGAGAAGAATGGGTTTTGCGAAATCACACATAATAAACCTCTGCTTTTGCCCATTCGGAGCCTCAAACAGCTCGTGCCCGAGTCTGGTGAGGTTGACTCGGGTGAGCAGCTGAGCCGAAAATCCGACCCTGTTAAAGATAGTGTTTCGAGTTTGAATGGAGATTCAAAAAAATCGAGGAATGTGGAGGTTTTGGGTTCGAGTCCTCCGAAGGTGGAGGATGATTTGGTAGTTCTTCGGTCGCCAATTCCATGGCGATCGAGATCTGGAAGGATGATGAAAATGGACGAAAATGAGGATATGATGAAGTCGAACTCGATTGATGACTCGAAATTCAATCCAAATTTGTCGACTCGTAAAATGCTAACCCAATCGACATATTTTCCATCCGAATCTCGACCCAAAAGTTCCTTGTCCTCGCCTCCACCAACCCCACCTCCACCACCTCCGCCACAATTTGTGTGGAAATCGATGATTCTAAAGTCGAGCTCGAGTTTCACCACAAATAATTCGGCCCCTCTTGAGAAGGTATTGAGGCGGAGCGCGAAAAGTGTCCCGACAAGCGAGACGAAGCAACTCCCGAGACGAATGACGAACAATAATGTGGCCGAATTTGTGGGTTACACTAACACCACGGAGTTTTTCAAGAAAAATGGATATTCGGGCAAAGGGTTGCCGAATAGGAACTCGGTCGAGAAGGATGTGATGGAAACTAGCGATGATGACTCGGAGGATGATGATTACTTTGAAGGGATTAGTTGTTTGGGTGGAGATGTAACTAATAGTAGTAGCATTGTCAATAACGATGATGATATTAGTAATAATGGTGATTTGGGGCCCGATGTAGACAAGAAGGCGGACGAATTCATAGCTAAGTTTCGAGAGCAGATAAGGCTGCAGAGAATCGAGTCGATTAGAAAGTCGGCCGCGCAGCGTGGCGCAAAGGCTTGTGGTGCCCGTTAAGGCGTGTTTTCTTAGCATTGTATGTTACACTATACTTTTTTTTCTTAATTTGTCTTGTTGTTTTCAAATTCAAAGATGGTGCTATATACTAGGTTAGATCCGGCGATGTACTTACCGTCAAGTAAAGAGTCAAATGGATAACCACCGATTTGTCGTTTTATTATGACGTGCGCTGGAGAATGGGTTTCTGACTAGGAACCCTCGGCTTCGGTTGGTTGAGTTACTAACAATAAAATGTCACAACTGAGCAAGTTATGAGATTTGTGTTTCTTGGATATAACTTGGATGTTTTTTAGTTATGTTTTGAGTGTGTGTGTTTTTGTGCCAAGTTTGTCATATGAGTGTAACAATGTGTCTAGAAAGATGGTGCTTGATCTAATCTTGTTTCAACTTGTGTGTTGCTAAAATGCTCTCCTCTTCTAAATGTTTCAAATAAATCGTGTTAGGTTCTTTAGCCTTCAATTTTAATAATTCAAGACGATTTAGGTCTAAAAACTTATATGTAAGATCCTAAATAAGTAGTTGTAGTTGTATATCGAATTCGAGTTTTATCAACTCGAGCTAAACGAGTTGATAAACATGTTCGAGTTTGGCCAGTCTATTTATCGATATTAAAAGACTGAAGTTGAGCCTTAACAAACTATAGAAAATTATATATATAAAACAAAAAAATCCTCAAGTCTAAACGAGCTGACACAAGTTCGAGTTCACAAGCCGCTCGTTTTGTTTACCAGCTCTAATTATTACCACCATGTATTTTCATACATTTTCCCTGTGGGTTTTTCACTCACATATATCCAAACCTTCAAGATCCCTTTTTATATCAACTAGCTTTCAGTAGTGTCAGTCAAACACAGAGTTTTNTTTTTTTCAAACGGATAAATTTTATTTCAATAACATAGCAATGTACAATAGCAATCAACTGATTGGTAGCATCACAGACCCTCCTCTACAGATAAGTCTATGACCCAGGGGAATACTGGACATCCCACATTCCCTAACTAACCCCAAAACAACCACTACAACACTATACTAAAACTAACACTGGAGAGCCCATATACAAAAACAAAATACAGATACAAAACAACACATAAAAAACCTAACCTTAACTAATTACACGCCGGCATAGTAGGACCTCAAACCTGAAAATCCTTCCAACCGGTCCAAACAGGAGAAATAGTAGCTTCAGCACTGGCCACATATGTTGCCCTACCTTTGCTTTCTTCCTCCTTTCATCCTCTTTCTAACCCTCTGATCCCTCAAATTTTTCCATTAACTTCTGCATATTCTGCCCACTCCCTTTTGGCTCCATCTGCTACTTGTTTTTCAGCCACCCACACTTTTTGAAATATCCAGTTATTCCTAGTACACCAGAGCCACCATAATAAATATGTTGTCAACTCGATTCTCTCCTTCCTGCACTTTCCTCTATCCATTGACATCAAAGCAACCCACCATTTCCTAAAGTCATCCTCTTTATCCTTCAGTCCCTCCCAACTAATGCCAGTAAGTTCCCAAATTCTCTTAGCTCTTTTGCAATGAAACAATATATGTTCTAATGTTTCCACTTCTTCCCCACATTGTTGACAGATTAGATCTATTTCCATACCTTTCTTCACTAGTTGAGCTTTCACTCCCAAGAACCGATGCCAACATTTCCACACAAACATTTTTATTTTATTTTTTACTTGCAAAGCCCAAGTTTTCCTCCATGTCTTCTTAAGCACCACCTCATTGTCACTAGTCTCTGGCACATCCTGTGCAGCCACTATCCTGTTCACCAGAAAATTATAAACATGTTTAACTGAGAATTGACCTTTTGGACAGACATGCCAGACCATTTGATCCTTTTTTCCTTGTGTTGGAGCTCTGAGCTTCAGTATTTCCTCAGCTTCAAATGGTAAAAAAGTTTGCTTTATAAGTTCTTCATCCCAGCCACCATCATCCCTTCTACTTAAATCACTGACTTTCCTCAACCTGTGTCTGTCACCTCCATAACAGCAGAAAGGTTTGATCAAAGGAGATTTAATAATCCAATTAGCATTCCATATATCAATATTCCTGCCATCCCCAATTATGTACCCCATCCCCAATTGCAAAACATATCTACACTTCAGCCAAGATTTCCAAAGCCAGGAATCTGAATTTTTAGAGACAACTTCAAAGAGGTTTTGATTGTGGAAATATTTACCCTTTATCACCCTGCTCATCAATAGATTGGGTTGAGAAATCACTCTCCAAAGCTGTTTGGCAATTAAAGCATCATTAAAACAAGAAAAATTCCTAAAACCCAACCCCCCTCTTTCCTTTGGTAATGCTAGTTTCTCCTACCCAGCCCAGTGTATTCTTTTCTTACCCTCTTCAGTACTTCCCCACCAAAAATCAGCAATTTCTTTACAAATGGAGTTACAAATCCCTACTGGTAATTTAAAGCATGACATAATATATACAGGTAAAGCTCCCAAGATAGATTTGATCAAAATGTCCCTCCCTGCATCACTCAAAAATCTATTTCTCCAGTTTGATACCCTAGATCTCACACACTCTGACACAAATTTGAAAGTATCCAATTTTGATCTCCCAATACCTAATGGCATACCTAGGTATTTAGAAGATGTCACCACTTGGACCCCTCCAAATAGTTGGCAAATGTAATCCCTGGATTCCACAGAAGTGTTTTTGGAAAAAAGGATAGAGGATTTAGAGAGATTGATCACCTGACCTGAAGCTTTGCCATATGAGCTCAAATTAGAGAACAAAACATCAGCATTATGCTTGTTAGATTTACAAAATACAATAGAATCATCGGCAAAAAGCAGATGAGATAGAGCTGGAGCATGGGTACCTATTCTAATGCCACTGAAGTTTGATTTTTTAGAAGCTTGGTCAAGGGAAAAAGAAAGGGCTTCTGTGATGATCAAAAACAGGTAGGGAGATAAAGGATCTCCCTGTCTTAGACCTCTGGAAGGTCTCACAAAACCCTTAGGTTGACCATTAATATTAAAGGAGTAAGAGGAAGAATTTAAGCAATTAAAGATCCAAAAAATGAAGGTTCGGCAAAACCCTAATTTCTCCAAAATAAGAATGAGAAAATCCCATTCTACCCGGTCATAGGCTTTGGACATATCTAGTTTCAAGGCCATGAAAGCATTTTTTCCTTTTTTCTTACTATTCAAAAAATGAACACATTCATTGGCTAGGATTATATTATCTGTGATCTGTCTACCAGGGACAAAGGCTGCTTGGTTTTGAGAGATACAAAAGGGAAGGACTTCCTTTAGTCTATTAGCCACAATTTTAGACAAAGTCTTATATATCACAGTACACAGGCTAATAGGCCTAAAGTCAGTCACTTTAATTGGATTCTGGATTTTGGGAATCAAGGAATTACTGTGTGGTTAATTTTCTGAGGGATATAACCTTTTTGGAAAAAATTAATAATAGCTGCACAAAAATCAGATTTAATAATAGACCAACAAGATTGAAAGAACAGAGGGGTCATACCATCAATTCCGGGGGCTTTGCTTGGATGCATCTCCATAAGTGCATTCTTTATCTCTTCTTCATCTATAGCTTTTGTCAAAGATTGATTCATCTGATCAGTGATGACCCTCTGAAATCCTTCAAGATTGAACTCTTCCACTTTATGCTCTGAAGATGTGAAGATTTGTTGGAATGAGTCCACTATTTCAGCCAGAATTTCTGTTTCATTCTCACATCTTGTCCCATCACTCCTGATCAGCAACTCAATACTATTCTTTCTCCTCTGATTTTTAACACAAGCATGAAAGTATCTTGTGTTTCTGTCCCCTTGTTTGAGCCAATTAACCCTTGACTTCTGTCTCCAGTACACTTCCTCCTCTTCATAAGCTTGGTGAAGCTTCCTCTTGATTTCCACCCATTTTTCCCATTCCTTTTTGCTTCCTTGATTCAACATTACAGCAAGTTGAGAGTTATAGCTTTCAATGAGTATAGCTGAATTGGAAACATGAGTAGCTTTCCAATCCAATAGTGCCATCCTAGTGTTTCTGATTTTGCTTTGGATTCTATACAGAGGAGGCCCTGAGGCATCTTTACTCCAAGCTTTGCTTACTGTCTCTGTGAACCCTTCCTTCCCTGGCCACCTTGCATCAAAATAAAATCTTTTTTTCCAAAAGCTTTTGCCTTGAGAGGTGTCCATTAATAACAGACAGTGGTCAGAAGATATTCTGGGAATATGAGATACAGTGGAATGGGGAAAAGCTAAAAGCCACTCATCAGAAAATAGAAATCTGTCAAGTCTCTCTTCTACAAAACCCTCCTCACTCCTATTATTAGACCAAGTATAAGGATATCCTTTGAAGCCTATATCTTGCACTCTCATATCCCTAATAAACTCTCTGAAAATCTTAAAACTGCCCTCATTCCTCATCCTACCCCCTCTCTTCTCCTCATTGGATACCAGGTCATTAAAATCCCCCCCCAAAAACCAGTAATCTCCCCACTTCAAACTATGTCTTCTAATAGACTGCCACTGAGCTTCTCTCTCTACACTACTAGTACTAGCATAAATAAACACAGCCCAAAGTTTATTACTATTCTTAGGAACCATAAAACATACTTCTAGACCAAAACAAGTGGGATTAATATCCAAAATATTAACCACATCAGACCAACACAAAAACAGACCCCCCTTAAGACCTATAGGATCCACTACATACCATCTATCACTCACCTTAAGATTTTTGCAAACAGTTTTGATAAAGCTCTTCTTTTTTTTGGTTTCAGATAAAAAGACAATATCAGGAAGGTGGAATCTCAAAGATTCCTTCAGCTGGGGAATTGTAGAGGGCCCTCCCAAACCTCTACAATTCCACACCATGACCTTCATTTTAAACTTGGGGACCATTTTTGGCTGGTCACCTCCACCATTTGAGATTCTGACTCTCTAGTACTACCCTCAGCATTTGACATTTTTTGTTTTTTAGAAAAGTTTTGATCCTCATCATCATCTGCTAACATCATCTCAGTTTTTCTTTTAACCCCTTCAGATTTGACTAAGCTAGAAGACATTCTGGAACTTGTGAGATTTTTATCTTTCCCAGTTTTCCTAACTGTTATTTTAGGAGTTCTATTACTAGGAACTTGATCTTGCTTAGGTTGGAGATCTTTAAGTATTCTGCTAGTGACTGCTTGAACAGGAACAACCACCAAATTATCTAAATTCATCATATCTGAATTATTAACCCCTGTATTCCTAACAGATTCTAACTCTAGTTGCAAACCTACTCTAGCACTGGGACTCACTACAGTGTTTCCACCAGTCATCCAACTATGAATATCATTTTTTGGAATAGCTCCTATTGACTCTGGTTCTCTCTCTCTAACAGGAACTTCCTCCCCCACTCTTTCCCCTTCCTTGATCTGATCACTACCCTCCTCTCTACCCTCCTGAGAATCCACACCCTTATGTTCTGCCACAAACTTTCCTTCTTGGAAAGTTTTAGCCCCATATGTCCTACTTCCTCCCCCCCTGACACCTAAACCACTCACCTGAGTAGCCCTTAACTAGTCCCCAAATTGTCCACTGTATAACTTCTTCCCAGCTACATCTTCTTTTTTCAGACTACACGATCTATCAGCATGGCCAATCCTTCCACAATAGTAACAGAAGTTCTGTAAATTTTCATATTTGAAAGAAACCCATTTTGATTCTCCTCCCATTTTAAGATGCGTACCTCTCAGGATCGGTTCATTCAGATTAAGTTCAACCAGTATCTTAACCATTCTTCCTCCTGCTCCACCCATCTCCGGCACTACCACATCTACTACTTTGCCAAACAATTGCCCGATCTTCATTCCTACTTCTTCAGTCACCCAATGAAGAGGCAGGTCGTGAATCTGCACCCAAAGTTCTATTTTGTGTTCCTCTTCTGTGTAGCCATTATTCTCCTCACTCCATTCCTTAAGCAAAAGGTACTGGCCATCAAACGTCCATGCTTTGCCTTCCAGAACTTTCTTCCTATCCTCTGGTGTTTGGAATATGAATTGATATTTATTGCTGCCCACCATTCTCGAGAAGAAGGGTTTTTTGGTTAGCCAGATGTTTTGTAGGGTGTTCTTTAGCCCAACAAAACTTGCCCGCTTTTCACCATACAAACTTCCCATTAGGCTGAGAGCACACTCCTTCATTCTGATTCTAATGTCATCTTCCTCTATTTCTATTCCATCCTCCTCTTTGGCCGACAGATTGAAGTTTTTAAAGTCTTCCTCCAGTTCCGATCCCATTATTCTACGCACCTAGTCTCCGCTCCCCAGAGAATCAAAAATTGACAAAAGCCACTCGGAAGAGATAAAGATGCACCTGAGAAGATTACCCAAATAACATGAAAGGTTAGATAAGAAAGGATTAGAAATTAAAGACTGATAAAATAAAGGAACCCCAACCCTAGAAAACACAGAGCCTATTTCAAAAAGACTGATAAGACCAAAGGCAGAAAACAATGATCGATCAAGGCTTAAGATAATTGCGAATACTGCTCAGAAGATTAAAGAAAACACAAATTGGAATCTTTAGGGACCACATCCAACTCGGTGGAACTTGGGAACTCAAGCAGGAGACGAGAACTCTAGAAAGAGACTAGTCAAACACAGAGTTACTTTACATACAAGTGTTCCACAACATAAAAAATTTAACACAATTTCACAAACATAGAATACCCTCAT